CCAGGTACTACTATCTGCTCAAATTCGGTTTTATTTGATCCCTGACCAGTGGATCCGTAGGGAGTATACAACCCAAGATGCCCAGGGTCACTAGAAGGTTTTTACATCCACCTCACATACCAAGTACCCATTCCCTGCTGTTTGAACAGAGGCACATTTGAACTAAGTCACTTGAACAGGGTGACACCACAAGTTTTGACACTTGTGTTTCAGGTGTATGTACGTATTGTGTTTCCACCATTAGGTCATCTACCATCGGGATTTTTTTTTAGTGCACATGGTGAATGTACTGTACACTAGGGTTAATGACAACACTGTAAGGACCTGTAAACATTGTTGGTCTCAAGGCTCAATAACAATCTGGTCACAAGCGGGATATGTTCTCAGCACCTGGCGCTTGCTTGCCTGGAGCTTTTGACAGCTTGTCCACTCCGTTATCTCGTGCATATGTAATACTAATGTCACTTCACATGTAAATTGAAATATGTATTACTTAGTGTTATGTCCTATAGGCATGTGGTTTCTGGTGCAATAAAAAAAATATTTCTTCTTAATCAGTTACAGTCATGATGTCAACAGGTAATTTTGTTGATTAAAGCTTTGAACTTATGAGTAATTTAAGTCTTTGAATGGCATTTAGAAGTGATACACATAAGGAAGAGAATTTATTGATGTCAACTTCTTCATTATGAGGAACGCATAAATTCTCTTATGAGATATTTATTTTACTTAATTTACATGTTCAGTTGTTAAAAGTAATAATTTCCTTAAATTCTGCGTTATTTTAGGATGGCACAGATATGTTAAAACTATTGACGAGGGAAAGTTTACTGACATCTTATACAGATTTGGGGCTGAATATCAGCCTCTGAGCAGGTCTAGATTTATCCCTGGTCAGTGCGGTCAGCTGGGGTGACCGTGTGTGTTGCAAAGACAGATGGCTGTCCCCCATGCAGTCTCTTGACCGGGGAACTCTTCTTAGGCAGAGCTGTCTATCTACTCTTCATCATCTCCATATCTTTGTTTAAGGCTGAGAACCGAATCTCAAACATGGTCTTCATTATCTCCTGCTTGTTGAATAGTTGTTGTTTCAGACTCATGGAGAGTGCAGGAGATGATTGTTCTGCTGAAGTAGGAGTAGGAGTAGGATGCTCAGGGTAGAATCAGAGGCCTGATCGGTGTTGGCTGCTTTGATGACTTTAACTTTTTTCTGGGCCGCTTCACGCCTCTTAGCCTTAGTTACACCCTCAGCTAACTTTAAGATGGCTTTCTTAGATGTTTTGGCGCACGGCTCGCATCTTGCCTCCTCTGTGCATATCGTCTCTCTGCACCCCCAGTAGTTACCATGAGGATCTCCCGTGATCATAAACCGACCATATTTCTTGCAACCGGAAGAAGAGGGACTCATTACAACCTCACAAACACACCTTACAGTCACGTACATGCGATCATCACTCTAGTTAGCAGCAATTAATATTTACTTACTGTGTCTGTTTTTCAGAAAACTATTAGAATAATCTTAGATTAATGTGACTAATACCAAGCGCTAGATCGTTACAACTATAACAATAGGTGTTGACTCTAGCACACACAGGAAAAAAGTGAGATTCCCGCCATTGCACACGTAATAGCTTGGGTGGTTACGGTGCTATTTGGGAACAACTAATTGTGTGTTGAAAATCTGAAATTTTAGTTAGTGTGACTGAAGCCAAAATACAGGATTTATGGCAAAGATGTGATAGAGGTAGAGGATTCACAAGAGTTATGCTGATTCGGGTGAATAAAAAAGTGACAATGGGTGTTTCTGATAGGCATGACAGATAGGCTTTTAAGTCACAAACCCAGGGGAAAATAGGAGTAATTGGCCACCACAATCTGCATCTGGCCCCATCGTTGCTCTTGGCCAACACAAACATTGAACATATAATGTATATCCACCTAAACACTAACTGCTACAAATGGCTATGAGGATATTTTAAAGAGAAAATAGGTGTTATGTATGTGAGTTCTCTAGATAAATACAGGAGATGAGTTAGATTAGTAAGATGTTTTAACTTGTTTCAAACGGTGAGTGCTAATGCCACAAGCCAAGGTGACAAGATAGACATAATGTCATATCTAGATTGCAGGAATTAGCGCATTCACAATACATCATGTCAATAGGTATGCAGTGTTTTCGACTACAGCTACTTTTCGGGCACACTTTTTCAGATCCAATTAGTTCTGCTTGTGCTCAAACACGGCTTCAGTGAATTAGTGATATGATTACCCAACCCTCTACCACTGTGTCATAGAGACTGATTTACAACACCCATTGTCTGAAGAACATTTAATTGCAAAGGCTCATTACCCTGGAGCCATGACATCTATATGCCTTGAAACACTTAATTGCTGTTATTTATAAGATGCTAATCCTAATTGTTAATCCCCATTTTTGTGTACATCGACCATCTGCCATCCTGCTGATGAATTACTGTTTACATTTATTACTTACTAAATGTCAGGTGACCTTGGCTATATAAGCCCTGGTCCAGAGAGAAGAAAAGAAAGAAAGAAAGGTCTTACCCTTAGCCTAGCTAGGGTTAGGTTGGGTGTTCCGGGGCACCTAGACAACAACCACTACCACTATGTGCTGACCTGACACATAGTGTCTTTTGTATGTATATATCTACATGTATAAAGTAAAACTGTATATACTGCAAGCCATCGTCTCCAAGTTGTCACTTCCTACTGAGAACCATACGTCAGCCCCTTGCATATACGAGTGTGCAAATTATAAATTAATCAACGTCAGACGACACGCGTTAATTTGGTGGAGCTATTGGGTATGACAGACTTCTTAGTCTGTCCTTTCCTGTACCTATTTGCAGCATGGCATATGGTTCACAATACTGTAGGAAGTGACAGTCTCTTATTAATAGGATATACTACCTTCCTGAAGGCCAATCACCAAGAACGAAGAAACGGCCTTTAACAAGATTGAAGAAAGAACAAGAACCTCTCCAATCAAGAACAAGTTCTCCAATCCCAAACCTTCCCTGCTCGAATATCTTAGCAACACTGCTAAGACTTCCTCTTCAAGATGTCGTTCCTGCACATGACCTAAGAAAAGAAGGGGTTTGTCGCTCTAACCAAGCAGATCTCTCTCCCACAGCCCAGAGGGTTGAACCAACTCTCTGTGACACCCTCAGCTATATTCTAAGATATTGTAAATTGTTCATTGTTAATTGTTCTTGTAAATAAAATTGTAATTAGTCTCCTGTGACTCCGGCTCTTTGCTGACTAATTCCCCCAAGAAAACCAGCACGCCATTTGGAAGGATTTGTTCATCCGAACCATAATAATTCCATGATACCTGGACCACGAGCACCATCGCATGTAACCAGTGCTAGTTTAAAAGTTCATTAGCACCCCACATGCATACACAATTAACTCATATAACACCAATCAACCGGAAGCTTCTACTGCTGTGACACCAAGTTCCCAGAGACTTATGTGATAGATGAAGCCAACATTTATCAAGAAAAATATCTGCTTGTAAAACATATTTGCTACAACACCATTTGAAAGGTCTAATTCTACTATTTATACATATGAACTCACATTATTTTGACAATGCATTTACATCTTAATTAAGTTTGTTGTAAATGAGAAAATGTAAGCTAACACATTCATAAAATCCAGATTAAGCAAGAATTTGATGATTTTCGGACAAATATAAGATTTCATAAAATCTATTTACCTATATTTTTTTTATTTTCATTATTTACGTAATCAAAAACTTTTATTTCAAAGAATCATAAATAGTATCTGTCATCACTCATTTCCCAATAACAGCAGCTGTCCGCTCAGTAACATGAAGAAATAACTCCATTTTCGAAGCTTTGTATGAGATCTAAACTGTAGTAACCTCACCTGGAGTCTTATATGTAGCTGTAACATGCAATTTTATTGGATTAAACCTGGTTACTAATGATGCTTTCTTGCTGAAATCTTCCACAGGGTTCATGAAATTTGAGAATGTGACCTAAGGCAGCCAATCAAATTACAGCATTGGTACCGTCCTCTTGTGTATGATGAATTTCAGATTTTGACGAATTTTTGTTGTTGTAAAATCGTGTTATTCTGAACGTTTGAAGGAGGAAAAAGCGATCTATATTAAAAATATGGAACTTCATGGATGTATCATGCTACTTTACGAGCTGTGACAAAGATTTTTCACGCATATATGTTAGCATTAAACATTGTGTCCAAGGTGAGAAATCGAGGCAACCGAAGCCGAGACGTCATTTCACTCACTTAACACAAGATCGCACAAAAAGATGGAAAAAATAACTTTTAGATATATATTTGTTGACTTTATTTATTATTTTGTATAATATATTTAAAGATTTGCTTGAAACGTCTTTATATTGCTCTTTGACATGTTCAATGTGGTCCTGTTGTCTAAGTGTTTGTCCAAGAATTGTAATTGCAATAACATTGCAGAAAATAGTGCAGAAAATTGTGAAATGTGATAGATTTCATGAATGAATGATAAGACAGGTAGGTTAAAAAAATTATATACTATTTTGATGTGACTGAGGCTTGGCCAGTGTACTGGGCTGCGGTGTCTTGGGACTCAAGGCTTCTTGGCCAGTGTACCCGCCTACATTGTTGAAAGAGTTAAGCAAACATAAAATTGACCTAATGCCCTCCCATTCATCTTTCTGAAAGAAACACACGAGCGATTGTTGTCCATCAAAATAAATAGCCAATGGTTGGAGGAAACGTGTTGAAACAGAAGACTCTATTCGGATTACCTAGATAGGATTATTGGCTATGATGTAACAGAGGTTGGGTAGTCATAATAATGATATTGTTTTACCAGGAGAGCTGTTTCAGTCAAAATGACATCAGATAACACTAATTGTCTAAATACGCATTTGAGGTGACAAATATGTTATTGTCTATTAATAAGGAAAATGCAGATTTCAACAAGTGTATATATTGACACTTACATTCCCGTGCTATTGGCTTTATCTTTGACATTTGCAACAAAGAAACTGATTTCTTGTATGAGTCTTTCTCGTTGTTGTGGCGGTTCTGGGAGAGGTTTAGGAGGTTCACTCTCACGTGTCTCCATTTTATAGTCATGCCAGATGGACATCAGTGTAGACACCTGTAATAGAAATAGGAAATATCAAACTTACAACGATTCAAACAAGCATTCTCTCAAAATGTCAGACACCTGGGTTTTATCAACACATGGGTACAATGTAGTCTTTTGAATCTACCAACCCATACTTATCGTTTAGCTTCAATTTCAATAGTGTCCAAATATGGACTTTTATGGATTTTAGACCAAACAAAAAGATTCAGATTCTGAACAAGTGCCCCCAGAGCGGAAGGTCTAGGATTTGATCCCCAGCCGTGTCATATCAAAAGACGTCAAAAGATGGTACTTGTTGTTACCCTGCCTGGTTCTCAGCATTACGGGGTAAAACAAGGGCACGCACACACACACATGCACGCATGTTGCTACATAAGCGCAGTAATTTTGGACGAGACGTAAAACCCCATTTCACTTCTGAACATGTGACGTAAATGTCTGTATGCTAAGTTATTTTTCTGATACACATTTATGTAAGTTCTGGAAAGTAAAATTCTATACAGTTGGACAGCAGTGGTTCTATTACTAACTTTAAAATTATGCAGAAATGTAAAATATCAAATTTCCTATCAGAAGGTGTAAATCAATTGCAAATATAAGACTGGTTTTAAAAAGGGATACTGCAGAGTGTTGTCCATAATTATGTCATGCATAAAAAAACTGAGCAAGAGATCCACCGAGATCATTGCTGTGGATGTTGATCATCAAGTTATCTATTGTCGAAGTGGAAGGTAATGGAGATGTATTCCGAACCTCCAAGGTTCATCAAAGGTGAAATGACCGGGGCCTAAGTAGTAATAGTAGGGTTGGCAGGATCCGAGCACTTTCCCAATCTCATTAAAATCAGATCTTAGTTCTCGCTATCGCTAAACAAACATCTGAGGACATCCCATGAAGGGTCACGTCAGAACGACCTTTCATCCAACCAATCAGAGCGCCGCTTACCAGATCATGAAAGTGACTGTCGGAATGTGTTTTCTAATCATGCAACCACGAAATATTTAACATGGGGTATTCCGAACGACAGTTGCGGGTTTTATCATTATATCCATACAATCTAGGCCATCTATAAGCCATTCCAGAATGTTCTTCTTATCAGTTTTAATTATTTTAATCGAGAATACGTCAAAATATATTTCGAAGCATAGTCGCCAGTTTGAAACTAGTGTCGTAAAGCTCGAGAAGGCTGCCTTCTGATTGGCTAATGTGGATTTCTTGTCAGTCATTTCATTGGTTGGTCAAAATTCGCAAAAGGTCCATCTGACATGACCCGTAATGGGATATCCTCTGATCTTTGTTTAGCGGTGGATTTTAATGAGATTGAGCACTTTCAAAACGTCCGTCCCTGAATGTAGGTTCGTCAAAGTGCTCAGGGGAACCCGACTAAGCGGTGCCACACAAGAGATTGTCAGTCAGGAAGCTATCTGACACACCCTCATGGTTAATCAAGAAAATGGAGATTGGAGGGCACGAGGCAGTGCTGTTTGTCAATGTTGTAGATGATTTTCCCAGGGGTTTATCGTCTTGGACTGTGTTTTCTTTGATTTTGAAGATTTTAGATGATTTAGCGTGGTATTCCTGTTATCTACGCCTTCATTTTTGCAAATAGAGGCTGAAGGATTCTTCAGGTAAATCCCTACATTGATCCCAACGGGAAGAAGCACTACCTGACAATCGGGACCAATGTCAAGGGGATCCGAAGGCGAAAAAAACTCTCCTGCATGTCAAGCAAGGGGGACAATCTCATTAAACTCAGATCTTAGTTCTAATTATCACTAAACAAAGATCTGAGGACATCCCATTACGGGTCACATCCGTCAGACTGACCTTGCACAAACTTTGACCGACCAATGGAATGACCAATCAGAAGGCAGCTTTCTCGTGCTTTACGGCACTAATTTCAAATTGGCGACTATGGTTCGAAACATATTTTGACAGATTCTTGATTACAAATTTGAAACCTCAACAAAAGAACATTCTGCTATGGCTAATAGATGGGCTAGATTGTATGGATTCAGTCGTTAAACCCGTAACTATCCTTCAGAATAAAGTTTTCGAGGTTGCATGATTAGAAATACATTCCGACTGTCACTTTCATTATCTGGTAAGCGATACACTGATTGGTCGGATGAAAGGTCGTTCTGACGTGACCCCTACTGGGATGTCTTCAGGTCTGATTTTCATGAGATTGGCAAGGGGGATGTCGCACTACTTGATCATCCATGTAGCGCCGGGAGAGGGGCGAGTACTCTGGGTCCGCAAACACCACACTACGGTGACGTCGTCAGTGGACACGATCAACAGGGTGTGACCGAGAATGCACTGTCAGCAAGTGACGTCCCGGATAAGCCTTTATCTCGAGGCTGTTGCTGCGCCAATGGTGTTGATCTCTGGATCACAGGTGGTCACAATGTGGGCTGGTGTGGGCCACTAGCCACTGACAAGGTGGCAGGGGAGGTAGTCAGCAACAGGGGTCTGCGATTGCGTACCGTCGGTACGATTCGGAAAAAGGTGTGATCGCCTGCGAACCAACCTCAAGTAGACGAAGTAAACCAGCTTCACAATTGACCGCCGGGGCATCGACGTAACCGGGTAGTAGGAAGTCGAGGCAATATGTCCATTGCACGAAGTAATGAGATCGTTTTCATCCCTGAAGCGGCGTATAAGTACTCCTGTTCTTATATCGAGGTGACGATGGAGGACGACAACACGATACGAGGCAGGTATGCAACAGGGGTCAGTGGGACGGCCGAGGGACTTTAAGTATCAAATCGACACTGTGTCGGGTAGTCAAGGCGGAAGATAGGAAGGTGTCGTAGTCGAAAAGATCAAACCAGACGAAGGAAGGCGATCTTTTCCATCCCTTGAACGCCTATAGGCGCTATCGTTCATATAGCGAAGGGTTGATGAAACAAGGTTCCTCGTGACAGCCGTGTTGGTAGAGGAGGTTCTATTGTTTCCAACATCCATGCATGGATGGACTGCGACAGGCGCCTGGTTGAGTGGTTGCACCAAGCGTACAGGTAGACATGGAAACCAATCTGTAGAATTACATGGTACCCCTTGCCATGGTAAGTTGACCTAATTCCGGTCGGAGTTGTTGACAGTCCGAGTACTTGACACGTGACGTGTAAATCACTCTGCGCAGTAGCCGAGAAAGCCGCATTGGAGTCGGAACTGAGGTGCAAACTCCACACACAGACAATCCTCAATGAACTGTGTGAGAGACGAACAAGTGGTGTACCCGAGTTTTGCGATAAAACACGGAACCCAAAGGGCGTCGTGGAAAACGCGGGGAGCGCCGAGGAGAATCTCTTTCAAGAAAGCTGGCGCTAGGGTAGGGCAGAACAGCGTTGGTGTCGGCGATGTCGACGAAGTAAACTCTTTATAAGTGGATGTCGTCGTCGAATCTGATACAGACACTGTTCACATGACGCTGTTTCGATGGAAACCCGCAGGTCATCTCTCCGGAATCATAGCGCTTTAAACGACGGGATTATGGATAACGTCTCAGTGGGCAAGTTGAATCAGACCAACTGTCTATTGGTTAAAAAGATTCCACCCAGGAAGTAGAACGATAGTCACGATCCCGAAGACCGACGGGAGAGTAGCGACAGGAGCGGCGACAGTTGTTTCACCATGCTTCTCCGTGTGACGAGTTATGAGACGGCAGCAAGAGAAGAAGAGGGCAGTGGCGCCGGGGAGGCGATTGACGATGGTGCCCCTTAAGCCGAAGTAGAAGATCGGATACTCGGCTCGTTGATCTGAGCTTGATAAAGCTTGTTGATCTGGGCGCCGGAGGTCATCTTAGGCGCCGATATATCATAGGTGCCAGAACTCTGGAGGCGCCGGGAGCGCCGTAACTCTGGAGTAGGAGTAGTCAGAGGCGCCAGAGACATTAGAGGCGTCCAAGATCTTGAGATCTGAGACCTCAGAGGCGCCGGAGACCTCAGAGGCGCCTGGAGCGCCGAAGACATCAGAGGATGCGGAGGCGCCGGGAGCGCCGGGGCGCCGAGACATCAGAGGCGCCGGGAGCATCGGGAGCGCCGGGACATCAGAGGCACCGGGAGCGCTGAGACATCAGAGGCGCCGGGAGCGCCGGGAGCGCCGGAGGCATCGGAGGCATCAGAGGCGCCGGGAGCGTCGGAGACATCAGCGTTGATGTGGTGGTGTTGGAGACCGTGAACGGTCGTATGTCGTGCCATGGGAGGCAGACTCTACGTTGAGAGCGCCGGAGCCGCCGGTGGTGTTGGGAGCACTGCGAAGCTCCGCTGAGCGCTGCTGCCGTCAACGTAGATGGGGGTCGACGAGCACGTTGAGCGAAGTGTGTCCTGGATACTCGCATGAGCTGAAGGATCACAGCGACGAATGACTGCAACATCGGCACTGCCTTGTGAAAGTACAGCGTCGTACAATCACGGCAGAAAGGGGCGGCCCCGACCAGATTTGTTCCCGCGGCAACAAGTGCAGCGAGGCAGAAAATCTGGAATTTAAGCAAAACATAACTATGTGGCAAAGCCACAAAGTGCGGGAAGCATAATGTGATTCAGAAACTTTGTATTTCAATGAAGTTTATGAGATCAAACAATGACGCTAAAAGGTAGCCAAAAAGCATAGCTTTAAGCAAACACATAACCATGTGGCCAAATCACAAAGTATGGGAAGCATAAAGTAACTCAAAAACAGTATATTTTATTGAAGTTTATGAGATAAACAATTACGCTAAAAGGTAGCGAAAAGGCATAGCCTTAAGCAAAAACGTAACCATGTGGCAAAACCACAGAGTACAGGAGACATAATGTAACTCAAAAACTTTGTATTATATTGAAGTTAATGAGAAGAAACAATTACGCTGAAAGGTAGCGAAAAGTCAAGGCTTTAAGCACACCAAAACAACATACATAAATGTAATGTATTACCCAAGCCAAAGAGAGAATTCAAAACGCAGAACACGAAATTACGTGGCCACGTGGTGAATGGCCAAAATGGCGGGAAAGAAAACAAAATGG